TAAGTTCTTACATAACTGTTGAGTAATAAAATTGATTTCTACCCACCACCTAGTTATTTCTGTCTTCTGACTCCAGGTAATTGTCAATATGTCCTTAAACAGATTCGCCAAGTTGCTTAAGCCTAGCACTTCATAAGGGCTTAAAAGGCTGGCTGTACTCTGGTTTTCTATGAATACTTAACTGCGGCTATGGTCCTACTTGATACCATGGCTCATAGAAATATATTGGTATTGAAGCCCCTAATTCCTTCTGACATAGCAATTGTCATTTTGGGATGATTGTAAAAAGCAGAACCTCTTAGTGACTTTGTAGCTCAATGTGATCTTAAAGTAGCTTTTTGATAGCCTGTATACTTCTTGAATTGTATCTTCTGTCAGTGACCATCCTTTACCAGTCTTATCTAATAATAAGTGTTTATAAATAGATGTGAAGAAGACATACAAATGGCCAGCAGACACATGAAGAAATGCTCAACATCACCGGGCATCAGGGAAATCCAAATCAAAACCACAATGAGATACCACCTCACACTGGTCAGAATGGCTAAAATTAACAACTCTGGAAACAACAGATGTTGGTGAGGATATGGAGAAAGAGGAACCCTCTTACACTGCTGGTGGGAGTGCAACCTGGTGCAGCCACTCTGGAAAACAGTATGGAGTTTCCTCAAAAAAGTTAAAAATCGAGCTACCTTATGACCCAGCAATTGCTCTACTAGATATTTATCCAAAAGATACAAACATAGTGATTCGAAGGGACACATGCACCCAATGCTTATAGCAGCAATGTCCACAATAGCCAAACTATGGAAAGAGCCCAGATGTCCATCAAGAAACAAATGGATAAAGAAAATGTGAGATATATATATATATATATATATATATATATATATATATATATATATATATATAATGGAATATTACTCAGCCATCAATAAGAATGAAATCTTGCCATTTACAATGACATGGATGGAAGTAGAGGGTATTATGCTAAGTGAAATAAATCAGTCAGAGAAAGACAATTATCAGATTATTTCACTCATATGTAGAATTTAAGAAACAAAACAGATGAACATGGGGAAGAGAAGGAAAAATAAAATAAGATGAAAACAGAGAGGAAGGCAAACCATAAGAGTCATTGAACTCTAGGAAACAAACTGAGAGTTGTTAAGGGGAGGTGGGAGGGGGAAGGGATAATTGGGTGATGGGCTTTAAGGAGGGCACTTGATGTAATGAGCATTGGGTGTTATATGCAACTGATGAATCACTAAATTCTACCTCTGAAACTAATTTTTAAAAAAGAAAAAAATAGATGCAAAAATTGTTATTTTTAAGAAAAGATAATCGCTGAGCTATAAAATACGTAAGTTGTAGGTTTTATTTATATCTCTCATATGGGGTTTATATGCCATAACCTCCAGTAACATTCATTTCAAAATGTCATATAAACCATTTTTTAAATTATAAAACTGGTAAGTTTTTTAAATCACAGATTGTAGAAGAGCATAGAGTAAAATGTAAAAATTCTCCTTCCCTTTTTTCTAGCCTTCAGTACAACTCTCCAAAAGCAATCACTGTTAACAGTGTCTTAAGTTTCTTTGCATGAATTTTCAAATCATACACAATTTTATGGATATATGTACACATACTCATTTTTACATAGTCATACTATGTAAACTGTTCTTCATCTTGGTTTTTTTTTTAAGGTTTATTTATTTATTTTGGAGAGAAAGAAGGGGGGAAGAGAGAGAACAAACTGGGGGGAGGAGCAGAGGGAGAAGGAGAAGAAGACTCCCCACTGAGCAGGGAGCCTGATGTGGGGCTCCATCCCAGGACCCCAGGATCATGATCTGAGCTGAAGGCAGACGCTTAACCAACTGAGCCACCCAGGTGCCCCATCTTGGTGGTGGTGTTTTTTTTTAATTTACTTAAAATACCAAGACTGTGTCATACTAGCATGACTCAGCTTCATTCTCTTTTTAAAACTGCATGGTATTTCATTATATATGAAATATGGTACATATAAATTATGTACCATAATTTATTGATGAGAATATAAGTAATTTCCAATTTATATCTGGTTGTTGTGGAAGTGCAAATAATTACGATAATGAACATTCTTAGAAATGAAATTACTGAACCAAGGGGTTTCAAATTTTTTAAATTTTGAAGAGATATTTCCAAATTATCTCGCACATAGTTACACTTCTTTCAATATTATCTGACACTGTTTCCACATTCTTATCTATCAGTCTTCTTTTGAGATTTGAAATTTCTGCCATTCTAGTAGTTGAAAATTGTTGCTTCTTTTTATTATGCCTTTATTGGATTAGCGTGCATTGGGTATTTTTTTTCATAAGAAAAATAGTCATTTTTACATATGTGTGAATTTCCTGTATTTTGTCCTTTGATTATTTTCCCTTGACATATCCATTTAATGAGAGAAAAAGAAACCCTTTACTAGGTTAGACTACCATTTATTTATGTATTTTTCTGATTTTTTTAGCTCAGCTTTATAATTTTTATTTAATTATTTTTATTTTAATTCCAGTGTAGTTAACATACAGTGTTATATTGGTTTCAGATGTACAATATAGTGATTCAGCAATTCTGTACATTACTCAGGGCTCATCATGATAAGTGCACTCTTAATCCCCTTCATCTATTTCGCCCATCCTCCCATCCACCTCCCCTCTGGTAGCCATCAGTTTGTTCTCTATAGTTAAGAGTCTGTTTTTGGTTTGTCTCTTTTTGTGGTTGTTGTTGTTCATTTATTTTGTTTCTTAAATTCCACCTATGAGTGAAATCACACGGTATTTGTCTTTCTGTGACTGACTTATTTCCCTTAGCTTTATACTCTCTAGATCCATCCATGTTGTTGCAAATGGCAAGATTTCATTTTATGACTGAGCAATATCTCACTGTAGACCTATACCACCTCTTCTTTATCCATTCATCTATTGATGGATACTTGGACTTCTTCCATAACTTGGCGATTGTAAATAATACTGCAGTAAACACAGGCATGCATATATTTTCTTGAATTAGTGTTTTTGTATTCTTTGGGTAAAAACCTAGTAGTGGAATTACTAGAATTCTACTTTTACTTTTTTGGGGAAACTCCATACTGTTTCTCACTCTGGCTGCACCAGTTTGCATTCCCACAAACAGTTGTACAAGGGTTCTTTTTTCTTCACATCCTTACCAACACTTGTTGTTTCTTGTCTTTTTGATTTTAGCCATTCTGACAGGTATGAGGTGATATCTCATTGTAGTTTTGATTTGTAGTTCCCTGATGATGAGTGATGTTGAGCATCTTTTTATGTGTCTGTTGGTCATCTGTATGTCTTCTTTGGAGAAATGTCTGTTCATGTCCCCTGCCCATTTTTAATTGGATTATTTGGGATTTTTTTTTTTTGGTGTTGAGTTGTATAAGTTCTTCATGTATTTTGGATACTAACTCTTTATCAGATATGTCATTTACAAATATCTTCTCCCATTCCATAGGTTGTCTTTTAGTTCTGTTGATTGTTTGCTATGCAGAAGCTTTTTATTTTGATGTAGTCCCAATAATTTATTTTTTATTTTATTTCCCTTGCCTCAGGAGACATATTTAGAAAAATGTTGCTATGGCCATTGTCAGAGAAATTACTGGGATAGGTTACCTTTTAATAGATAACCTACCAACAGTTCTCAGGAAACCATAAATGTATGTATTCCACACATGATCACCTGTACAAACACTAACTCACTTAGAGGCCTAAAAGAAAGCCCAAAAGAAAAAGTGTCTGAGAAGAGAAAGAAAACAGTCTATCTGGAGATGGATGTGGGGACTGGCCTCATGCTTTCTATTACTTTTCTATTGCTATAAAAAATATGACCATTAACTTAACAGCTCCCAGTTTCCTGTGATAGAAGTCCAGGCACAGCATGACTGGCTTTTTACTCAGGTCCCACAGAGCTAAAATAAAGTTGGTCAGCTGTGCTCAGTATTCTCTTCTAAGTTGATCTGGTTGTGGCAGAATTCAGTTCCTTGCAACTGTAGAACTAAAGTCCCAGTTTCCTTGCTGGTTATTAACTGGGGGCCACTCTCAGTATCTAGAGGCAGCCTATGTTCCTTATCACAGAGCCTCTCCCATCTCCAGAGTCAGCCAAGGACAGCTTCCCTTGTGTTAAAGCTTTCTCACGCTTCCAGTCTTTCTGACTTCTAGACCCAGATCTGATGAGTTCATGAGACTAGGAAAGACCAACCAGATAATCTACCTATCTTAGGGTCAACTGATTTGGAACAAAACAGAATGGCAAAGACCTTCCACAGTAGCACCTAAATTAGTGTTCAGTTAATTAACTGGGAGGAGGTGTATGTATGCAAGGGGTCAGGAATCTGGGGGGTCATCATAGCATTCTGCCCACCACAACCCCCACCTGCCTTCCTCAAGGAAAGCAGACAGAAGTCATGTCTGTTGTCTGAGGACACCAATCCTACTGAAACATTAGATGCCAGAGAAAGGGAGCAAGACTGGCATCCATCTAACCTCATGCACAACAAAGTCCCACCCATGCGGGTCAAACATCTTGATATGAGCAATGAAACAGCAGAAAGCTGCAGAGAATATCTCAGAAACCACACATACAATGTAGGGGTCGGGCAGGCCTTCCTGACCAAGGATCAAAACCTGGCATTTCCGACTCCACAATCTCTGCCTTTTTGACCCCTACACTGTGACCCACCAGAGGACAGGTCATTCATTGGCTGTACAGATAGATTTTGAGTCCTCTGACCTTACTGTTTCTTCTTATGCCAGTGTGATCAGATGTGCTTTTGTGAGTTGTTGGCCTTGGGTATTCAGTAGAACAGAATGAACTGACCACAACCTAAGTAGGTAAGCCACTCAAGGGAACCGTAGTGATGAGCATTATTCTAAAAGAATTCTAAAAACCCTCTCTTCCCTCCCTCCATCTCTTTCTCTTTCATATTCCCACCTGCTGCCGTGATTCAGGCGCATCATACATGACCTGCTTGAGACGGAAGAGATTTATATAAAAGAGATTAAGAGCATAATTGATGTAAGTAGACTGGGGTAGTGGACATTAAGCATGTATTCAAATTAGAGTTCTGTTGCACAAAGAGACTTAAAATAGTTGCCGTATGTCTCTAGAATTTCCACCAAGAGTTCAGGTCTTATAATATCACAAGTATCTTTCCAATAGGAATAAGAACATTCTTATGACTAGTGATCCGTGTAACTAAATAACTTCCAAAGGATTGTATCAATTCATACTGATTTTAGCAGGGCCCAGTAGGTTGCCAACAATGGACATGATAATTTGAATATTTTTGATAATTTAATAAGGGAGAATTGTTTCAAGTAGGATTTTTTGCTTGAGAGTAAAAATTTGAATTTTTCCTATTTTCCTAAGAGAATAATCTGAGAAATAAATGATCTGTACAAAGTTATAATAGAATTTTTATAATAAAATATCAAAAGAAAATAAAATCTCCAATAAAAAAGGGGATGTTAATACAGTCTGATATTCATGCTGAATGAAATATTATTCAACTGTTACAAAATATTTTGAATAATATGTAGCAATGTTGAAAAATGCTTATAAGATTAAACTAAAAACAGTATTAAATAAGCTTTTAAAAAGTCATGAAGGAAATATAAAACAGTAATAATTGCATTTGGTTGTAAAATGATAGATAAGTTTTTTGCTTTCACACTTGACTTGTATAACATAAACATTTAAAAAATATATTTGTTCTTTCTATAAAATGCCATTTTATTATCACTGCCATTTAAATTTAACCACCTTCTTCTGAAGATGGACACATGAAGGGAATAATATATATCAAAAGAAAGCATTTGATGAAATGGCTTTCAGGAAATAAGTGTGCCATGTTTCCCAGTTATTAAAGTTTTGGTCCCTAGAGAAGCTAATTCAGATCATCTCTTAAATGTTCTTATCTGTAAAACCTATCTTGTTTCCACCTTTGCAGGGATATATCACTCCAATGGATTTTATTTGGCTGAAGCATCTGATTCCAGATGTTCTTCAGAATAACAAGGAGTTTCTCTTTGGGAATATTAGAGAACTTTATGAATTTCACAACAGGTATATAATAATTCGAACTATCAGGAAAAATGGAAAGTAAGAGAAAAATGGAAATCAGACTGATGGGATTTGGAGATGAACATGTGTAGACATTGCCAGACTTAAGCAAGTAGTCCAGAGTCAATGGACTTGGTTGGGATGGGATGGGATGAGAAGGAGGGGAGAAGTGCCATAGATCTCTGAGGGAGAAGGGGAAAGGCATCAATGGAGCATGTACCAAGTGTCAGGCATTAATGTTATATTTTTTGTGTGTTCCTTTGCTTATTTATCTATTCATGTATCTGCCTTTATTGAGGACCTCTTCTGTGTCAGGCACTGTGTTCAGCGTTGGGAATACAAAGATCACCAAGACACATGTCCACATACCTACTATCATCAAGTAGTGCTGGGAGCTAGGGTGTTGGAAAATGCTAACTGGTTGGACAAGTTGTCCTTTTAGCCCAGGGCTGCTTGGGTGTTGAGTTCTAGAGAATTAGAGGAGGAAGGGACTTTGGAGATCATCTTCCAAGCCTTTCATTTCACAGATGAACCTGCAGCTCGTTTCCTCTCTTTACTCAGTATAACAACCCCAAATCACACATCTAATTGATGGGAAAGAAGAGACTCCTTGGTGAATTGACCCACAATTGTTTCCCAACCCCGTCTCTTGTCCATTGGTCAGACACACAACTGAAATGGAAATCCCATTTCTGCTACCTTCCCTGAAGAAGTTATTCAGCCTCTTCCATGCTTTGGGTTTCACATTTATGAGACCCTACCTTACTAGGTTTGGTGGAGGATTAAATGAGATATTGTTTATGAAGTACTTAGCTTATGCCTGGCTTGCCTCAAACCCTCAGTGATATTAGCAGTAGACACAGCAACAGTAGTTCATGTTCATGTGATTCTCATGTAGCAGGGAGCATCAGCGCATCTTGTCGGTCTACAGCTAGTGCCTAGAATTATCAGGACAAGCTGTGGTTGGCTTCAAGGAATCCTAGTAATGTCACAGAATGTTTTTTTCTTCCAAATTGGTATGTTGAAGATGAGTCAAGAGCAATAAACCCTGGAAAACAGCATTTTTCTGAGCACCTCTTAAAATCTTATGTGATTTTACTTAAGAAAAAAACTTATGTATTTTAACTTCATACATGTAAAAAATCAAAATGTGATTATACTTTTCCTTCCCTAGGACTTTTCTAAAAGAATTAGAAAAGTGCACCGAAAACCCTGAACTTCTGGCACGCTGCTTTCTCAAGAGAGTAAGTCTGTGCTCCCAGAAACTCAGAATAACCATGGGGTTAAAGTTAGCCCTTAATTTTCTGTGTGAGGAGCAAGGGCAAATGGGAACACCAATGGTCTCAAAAATTACACATGCCTTTTGAGTGCAAAGCAGGAGTCCTTTTGTAATATGTCACCCAGCGTGAGATGAGTCCAGTTTGACTAGGCTCATATGACAGATGGGAGCAACTTACAAGCTTGGCCTCCTGCAAAGCCCAGTGACATGGAGGACTGGACCCCCAAAACAGATGATCCTCCTCTGAATGACTAAGCTAACTGGTTTTTTGTTTGTTTGTTTCTTTTTTTTTTTTTTTGAGCCGAAGGCAGCGGCCTAACAACTGAGCCACCCAGGCACCCAAGCTAACTGTTTTCGAACAAAAATCACACAGCAAGCTTAAATTCCTCGCTAAAGTTGTATTAACACTCTCAAGAGAAGAAGTACTGATGCTAAACTAAAAGTCTCAGAAAATGTCTTTTCTTCCATTTTATTTTTTTACAGCATAGAGGATGGTTAGAATATGTTAAATCTGTGGTCCCTCTTTTTTTTTTTTTTACTTTTCAGTTTGGAATTTATTTATTTTTTATTCTTTTCTTTTAAGATTTTATTTATTTATTTGACAGAGAGAGAGAGAGCATGCAAGCAGGGGAAGCGGCAGGCAGAGGGAGAGGGAACCTAGACACGGTGCAGGCTCAATCCCAGCATCCTGGGATCATGACCTTAAGCCGAAGGCAGACGCTTATCCGACTGAGCCACGAGGCACCCCTTTATTTTTTATTCTTAATGAAAAAATAACTTTGGAGCATATTCTAAAGCTTATTTTTTAAAATTTTATTTAAATTCAATTAATTAACATAGAGTGTATTATTAGTTCCAGAGGTAGAGTTCAGTGTCTATGGTCCCTCTTATGCTTAGTACCCCATTTATGATTTCCTGCCCTACACCACCATCTCTGACTACTTCCCCTTCTCCGTGCACAGACGTCTTCCCTCTTGCCCTCTCTGCACCCCTGCTTTGGGCAGTGAATAGCTGTTTGGGCCTATTGAGCCGGTACAGAGACATGTATTACCTAGCACTGCTCCCCAAGCACTTTCTTCCTTTGGGAGGACTATGCAGAGGATCCTCATGCCCTGGACTTTCTAAGTCTTTTGCATTTCTCCTCTCTCTCAACTAGCTCTTCTTTTCATTCTCTTCCTTCTTTTTCTTTTTGTGAGCCTGAGACAACAGACGAAACAACTTAAACATTTTAAACAACCCAAATTAAGGCTGATAAGTCTAAGAGCAGTACGTGTGATAAACTGAGAGCAAGCAAACACAAATGCCCAGGTTTCAAGGCATTTGACATAACAGAGAAACAGAGCCTTCAACCCTCAGAACTCTTGCCAGCTTAGAAAGCCTTTTCCACAGCCTATATGGGCTTTTCCACCACAACCTCATCATAGGTTTTTTGTCAAGTGCCAAAATTCAAGGTACACTGAAAACTATGTTGTATTTAATCTAATTAATTTCCTTTTTGAATTACTTTATAGCATTATTCGTGTTTTGTACTACTTTGTAATTTTGCACTCATCAAACCACCAATGTGAAGTCTAGTTTCAGAGCTTAGAAATATTTTATAATTGCTTATGTCATTATTGCAAAGACTTATTTAAATTGTTGGATGAGAAAAGGACCGAATTCCTGTGGGGAAAAAATGGATATGATAAAAAACAATTGTCCAAGTGTAAGGCAATGGTTAAGGAATTGCTGACAAAACATCTTTTCCTAGAAGAATTCCTCACCTAAAGTTTTGCAAAGCCTTTCCCCCATGTTGGGAGAAACCTGAGAAATCATTAATCCAGACCTGCATATAAACACTGCATATGATCCTATGTGATTTATGATGTTGGAGACATAGTACAGGTAATAAATTCTTCTCCATCATAAAGTTATTAGTCTGGGACAGATGGAGTAATTAAAAACCATGATCAGGTAATCTTTGAGGCTCCTTGAGGGAACTGGCTGTTGCTGTGTATTTGTTAGCCAATGAGGTGGGCCCCTCACCCGTTATCTACTACAACAACTGACCTTTTCTCAGTAATATTTGCAGAATTCCATTAATCATGAAAATGAGTTTTGAAATATTCCTCTGGCCAAATATTTTAATCAGACTCTCTAGTCTGCAGAATCCAGGAAGATTCTGCCCCAGAGACCAGGCTCTACATAGAATGATATTTGTCAATAGTCTACTTTGAGTTCCATTAGCTCTGAGATGTGACAAGGCAAAATGGGAAGAGCCCTGGGGTGGGACTCAGGAAATGTAACTTCTTGCGAAGTTGAGCCACTTGCTATCTGCGTGACCTCATGTTAAGCCACTTAAACCCCCGGAGTCTCACTTCCCTCCTCCATACAATAGGCTTAATAATACCAATATGTAAAGTCGTTGTGGAAATCTAATAAAATAGTGTATACAGAAGGGTTTTACAAAGTAAAAAATGTCTTGTCAATGGCTACCATATATTGGGTGCTCCATACATATTGGGCATTTGTTGAGAAGTTTCTATACATTGTCTCATTTAATCTCACAGTAGTCCTAGTTGACTGCTGTTGTGAACCCACTTAATAGATGAGAAAACTGAAGTATAGGAAGGTTGAGTAACTGAACTTGGGCCATTTGGTTTGGAACTGACAAAGCCAAGAACTGAACCTGGACCATCCACCATCAGAGCCCACCATCCTAATGTGTAAATGATCATATGTGAATAGGAGTTTTTGGTAGCAGTTATTTTTTTAGCCTCCTGATTTGTTCTATAGGCAGGTGAGGATAGTTGGGCACTTTTATATGCTGCTGGTCAGTGTGTATCCTTTCTTTAAGGAATTTTGGATTGAAGAGCAATTGTAGGTCAACAGTCGTGTTTTGGTGCTTGAAGGCCTATGGTGTTCTGCCTTGCTCAAAGTGTAGACATAGTACCAGGGAGTGAGGGTTTGAGGAGCACACTTTTCAGCTCAGCATCCCCCAAGAGAACCATGTGCCTCTGTTGCTGGGAAAGTTTGGGGAAAGGTGGCTGACTTTTGAGGATGTTTCACTGGGTGGGAGGATCTCCTCCAACTTTTATATAATCTTCTGATGGTTAGTGTTGAAAGCCCTGAAACCTTGAATTCTTTTAGGAGCTAAAGGCCAATGATTTTGTGCTCTGACAGACCCAATGTGGGTGAGATGCCTTCATCAATTTGTAATATTTTATAAGTCTGGCCTGTGGTATGGCAGGAGTGTTCCCCGTGTGTGGGCTGCTCTGAGTTATTATTCTAGTTCCTTAACTTGTCTGAAGAACATTTCTTAAGAGCCATCTTCCTTCTTTCTACAAGCAGAAATGGAAAGAAATAGACATAGTTGAAGCTGTGAGGAAAACAGTGACCTATGTCCACATGAAGGCCATCAAGAGTTGGCCTGAGAAAGACAGGGACATGGAAATCCACCAGGATGCAGCCCCGTAGGCTTCCCCCCTCCCCAGACAGCACAGGCTCTGTGACCAGCATAGCTGCTGTGGTCCAGGTGCGCGTGACGGAGTGGATGAAGCTGGCAAGCTGACTCCATAGGCTGGGAGCAACCTCTCCAGGGTACTGGTGGGTATGTGCCTACCTCTCATGGTCTTTGATGCAATGAGAAATAGGTCACACAGCACTTGGAATCCGTCTTGATCTCTAGCTCTGAGTTAGTCATATAATGTTTCCTGTCTTAGAGTCTGGTGCTGTAGGTGGAAAGGGATGTCTGAGGCAGAGCCTGCTGATTTGGGGGTTGCCCAAAGGACTTAGCACTTGTTTTCTTCAAGCTGCCACATTTTCCTTTTGGGGTGTTTCTATCTTTTGGATGTCTCTTGGTTTATTTTCTGCAGTTAGCATCATGATGATCAAAATAGGAAGATAGGGAGAGAGAGAGAGGAGGAGCCATCAGCTACCAGCACCTTTTCTGTCAATTTTGTACTTCACTGCAGAGCTACTCTGGGGAGACAGTGATGTCCTGGATAAAGAGCAGAGGAGGAAGGATGAAGATTAAAACCCGCTCCTGTTCATGAATTTACCGATTTGTCAGAATCCTGTAGTTGTTTCCACAGCACCCTGTTCGTATCTGTGTTTAGGACTTACGGTTGTTCAGAACCTTCTGTTTACCTTCCCATCACACAGTCACCCCAGCATGAGGTTATCATGCATCCCCAGTTCCTCACACCATGAAAAGACTCAGGCTTCTTGAATATTTGAATGAATAAACAGTATCATCCTGTCCACTTACTGAAAAATAGAACCTGATTAATCTGTTCCAATTCTTTTCCCACTCAGAAAGAAGATCTTCAAATATATTTTAAATACCATAAGAATCTGCCCCGAGCTAGGGCAATCTGGCAAGAATGTCAAGACTGCACCTTCTTTGGGGTAACGTTGAGATCACAAAGTCTCGCACAAATGGTTTTTCCTGGACAATGTTTATGTGTGCCAAGTCTTTAAAGAAATCAGAAGTATGAACGAGGCAGGGGAATTTGGCATTTGAATTTATGTTTATTGAAAGTCTCTCCTATTTTGAGATGACATGTTGGAAGTTTTGATGTGGCCCTGGGTCTCTATGGGACAGGCCTGTGAGGAGCAGCTCTAGCCTGGTGAGCAAACCAGAGTCCTCGTCTAGGATGGGGAATTTTTAAAAGGAATTAAATCCAAAAGGTCACATTCTGGGGCTCCTTGGAATGATATTAGTAAGTCATCATGTAACTTCTAGACTCAAAATGACCTGAATAGACACAACTCAAAGACAGGCTGCCTCTTTTTCAGGATTTGAGGTACCCCACTGTCTTCCAGTGGACTTGCTTTCTAAAAGAAATAAATGGTCCTGCTTCCCTAGCTGCATCTAGAATTACTAGCCCAGCCATCCTCTTTCCCCTTTCTCTCATTTGACACATTGTTCCTAAGGCACCCAAGGACTCAATAACGTTACTAACCAGGTCAACACAGCAGCATCTCTTCCCCCCAGCGCCCCCTCCAAGAGCCTGTTTCATTTCTTGTATTCAAATGCTGCCTCTTTGTTCTCTCCATGTGTTGTTGGTTTTGTTTTACATTTGTTTCTGTTTGGCTTTTAAAGGTATGCCAGCGCCAACTGGATCACAATCTCCCTCTTTTTAAGTATCTCAGAGGACCCAGCCAGAGACTTATAAAATACCAGATGCTGTTGAAGGTAAAGTCGATGAGACAGTGCTTTCCTGTGCTGGGAAAACACGTGTGTGCTAGGATGCTCTTTTCCTTAGACATGCAGAGCTGTGACTTCGTCTTCCAAAGGGGAAGAAGATAGGTCTCTCCTTTAGGCTTTTTCTGTCCTCCAAGTCCAAAGCAGCATACCTCGGTGAGGAGGACCAAAGAATCAGAGACTCGAAAGGGACCTGGAAGCCTGGCTGGTCCAACATGCGGCCTAAGGCATGAATCTCTCAGGAGGCTGGTTTGGGGAAGGAGAGGTCCTGGAGAGCAAAGGGAGAAAGGGGAATGCCACCACATTGCTGGCAACTGAGAGAGCGGGGAGGCAGCCAGAGGCTGTCCTCTCATATAAGGTATCTACAGGCAAGATATCATCTGCTCCATTTTACAGATGAGGCAAGGAGCTTCAGAAAAGAGGTTTGATGTTCCCTGAGTCACAATTTTCTGTGCATTAAAACAATGGAAGGGAGAAGGCAAAACTGGAGTCTTTTCTCCTTTTACAATATCTACCTCCATCCTTCGATTAAGGATCTTTCTCAAGAGCAACATAATAGAGGGCATTTTGCTCTGCTGAACCCCTAGGTGGTTCGTTCTCTGTCTGCCAACAGCACACCTGCAGGAGAGCACTCCCAGACACCCCAAACAGGAGACAAGGCTCTGTCAGGCTGCCTCCCTGCCTGTGAGCTGAGGGAAAGTTTTGGGCCCCTTCTCCAACTTGTGTTTTGAGTTAACCTTTATAAGCAGCTCTTGCCCAGTGGCTACTATCTCTCAAAACAACAACAACAACAAAAATGAAAAACAAAAAACACAAGCACCTGCTGTTTAATGGGGACCTTCCCATATGTACTTCTTACTTAATCCCCACAATCAGACGCACCAGAAAGACTCTGGAGTGCGAAGAAACTGAGGCTCGGGGAGGTTAAGCTCATTGCCTAACATTCTGCCCTCAGAAAAAGCTGCCCCCTTCAGCTTTGCCTCAGCAGTCCCAGCCTCAGCTGGACCGGCCCTGCCGTCACCACATATGGCACTTCTGGACGTTTTAGGCCTTGGTTTTCTCATGTGTTGGGTGGGGATACTAGAACCTCCTCCACAGGATTGCTGTGCGGAGCCAGTAGGTAATGCCTGTAGAGAACTTGCTCGGGGCTGACCCCCAGGAAGCTTCCTGGAATGCGTAGCAGCCGTTGTTCTATCCATAGAGATGCCACAGCAGTGTGGGAATGGGAATGAGCCCCAATGCTTCCCTCCACCATGGCATCTGTGAGTGTGTCTCCATACAGTGCTCACGTAGAGCCTCACACTCCTCTGACCAACCCATCTTTACTGTCATCCGAGCTGTACAAGTCCTACCCAGTGAGGAAGGAGCAGGACGAGTGGGGGGTCTTCACCACCTCCGTCTGGGTCCGTCGGGCACTGAAATGCCTGAGTTTTCCCACAGAAGCGATGTTGCCTCAAGAGCGAAGTTCTGTACCATACACAGAGGGCTACAGGGCGCAGTGATTAGAAACCCAGACTGAGGAGTTAGCCATCTGGGGCGTGGATCCAGCTCTGCCGCTTCCAGACTGCATGAACGCAGGCAAATTACTTAACCTGTCTCTGCCTCAGGTTCCTCAGCTGTGAAGTGAAGGTAGTACTAGTCTTTTCCTGGTATGCTTTTTGGGAGCATAAACGAGGTAACACATGTTAAAAGTAATTAGAGAATTTTGTTAGTTTCATGTCACTCAGGAAATGAGACAGAATCACTATAAAATATTCCTCAGGGATGTGAAACAATTGGAGCCTATTCAGGGCAAACCAGTTTTTCCCATAGCTAAGCTTGCTGCGTGCTGGAAAAACAAGTCCAAACCACTGGCACGCCTGTGAAGAAAGGAAGAACTTCGTAGTGTTCTCCACCCTGAGGGACAGAGCTCATTCTGCAGGGCCTACCATCATCTTCTTTGGGAGCACTGGTGTCTGACTGATGGCCCCCTGGCTTAGAAAGGATCGTGGAATTCTGGTGTGAGAAGGCTTTTTCCGAGTACAAAAGAAAGGGAAGGGAATGATAGATAATGCCATTAAAAACAGACACATGAAAAACTGTGTGAAATATAATATTAGCAAGATACAGGACAGATCTTAATAATGACCTCATAGAAGTTAGTAATTTAAAAAAACAAAAACAAAAAAGAAATACCTATGAAATGCTTCAAATCTTTTCTGAGATATGAAAATTAACACTTGTGACAGAGTTTTTTGAATACATAATGTACATAATGTGTAATGAGTCATGGCAAGCTGATTAAACAATATATTATTTATTAGCATATATTAGAAATAGATGCATTTAGGGACAACAGGAATTCACTTTTATTGAGGTCATGATTTATGTCAAAGAGGCTAAGTGATGTATGGAAACTATCAGATTTATTTATTTATTTTTTAAGATTCTATTTATTTATTAGACAGAGAGAGAGCCAAGCAGGGGGAGGGGCAGAGGGAGAAGCAGGCTCCCTGCTGAGCAGGGAGCCTGATGCGGGGCTTGATCCCAGGACTCTGGGGTCATGACCTGAGCTGACGGCAGACACTTAACATGACCTGAGCTGAAGGCACCCCAAAACTATCAAATTTAATGTAGAGAATTTTTCTTACCTGGATTTTAAGATGTGATTTGGAAAATGGTGCATTATTTGTTTATAATAAATTTTGCTTATTATAAGAAGGTTGTTCTAGAATAGGTGGTTATGCTGATTTCCTGTGTAATGCGACTCATGTCATAGGAGTGATATTCATTTTTCTTCTCTTAAAAAAATGAAAGACTACTATTAGAAAAAAGAATAGGGAGAGGTTGGTAAAAGGATATAAACTTTCAGTTTACAAGATGAATAAGGTGTGAGGATCTGATGTAAAACATGGTGACTATCGATAACAGTGTATTATATAATTGAAATTTTCTAAGACTGGGACTTAAATGTTCTTGCCAAAAAAAAAAAAAGATAAATATGTGAAGTAATGATGTGTTAATTAACTAGATGGAAGAAATCCTTTTACAATATATACATATATCAAATCATCACCATATACATTTTGAATACCTAACAATTTTATATGCCAATTATACCTCAACGTTGAAATAAAAAAGAAAATAATTAAAAAATAAATGGAGGACATAGGCAGTTTACAAAAGAATAAATGTTAATAGCAAACATTTTTGTTTTGAAAGTTCCACCTCACCAGTTATTTGAGAAATTCAAATTAAAACAAGTGAGGTAGGATTTCTCTGCTGATTGAATTGGCAAAACTTTTTGGTTAAATGTTAATACTCCATGTAGGGTGGGGGCTGGTGAAATAAACTTTCATATATGACTGGTGGGAACATAGTCCTTCTGTAAAGAACTTGGAAGTATGCATCAGAATTTTTAACATTGGGGTGCCTGTGTGGCTCAGTTGGTTAAGCATCCAACTCTCGATTTCAGCTCAGGTCATGATCTCAGGGTCTTGAGATCAAGTCCCACATTGGGCTCCATGCTCAGCACAGAGTCTACTTGTCCCTCTCTTTCTGCTTCTCCCCCCACCAAATAAATAAAATCCTTAAAAAAAAAAAAAAAAGAACTTTTAACATTGACCATTTCACTTCTAGGAACTTATCCTTGGGGAAAAAAGCACAAAGATCATTATTATTATTGTAAAAAGTTATTGAACCTAAATGTTTAAAAGTAAGGGGGATTAATGAATTATGATTTATCTACAGGATGCGACACTGCTACAACTAAAAAACTTGTTTTAGAACATAATGTCATGGAAAAATGTTCATGATACATTGTTGAGTGAGAAAAAACAGGCTACAAAACAGTGTGTCCAATATAATTCTGTTTGTGGAAAGTACGTCCTCTGTTAATTCAGCATTGGCTGGAGGTAGCACAGTAGATTTTGTTGGCATTCAACTTTTTGATTTCCAATAAGACTTCTGGGTTAATGCAGGGTCTGCTGGATTTTGAGTCTCCTGAGGATTTGGGGATAGACTCCGGTGACCAAGAAGGAGGTTTGGCTAAGGTACTGTATATTAAATATTGTTTTATATAACTAACTGTTAATGGTGTTTGTCTATGGGTGGGCAGATTTATAGCAATTTTGTTTTTCTTGTTTATGATCTTTATTATTTAAATTTTCTAAAATAGCATGTATCTTATAATTTGTAGTCACAGAAAAAACAAAAAAATTAAAGGCAATTTCAAAGTGAGGTTTTGTAACAGGATAACTAGTGATATATTTTTTTTCCTACACATAAAAATGTTTTAACAGGAATACAAAATTAAGTGAATGTGTAAAATGCTTACATAAAAGACTGGAAATAAATATGATAAAATCTCTGCTGTGGTTTTCCTGCAGGGTAGGATTATGTATGATTTATATTTACTTGTTTGTGCTTCTTAGTATATCTAATTTGCATACATTATGCCCTGTTCACCTCTAAGTGTGTTTGTGGGTGTGAATTCTAAGACAGCCAAGGTTCCCTCGGAAGAAATGGTGACCATACTGTACTGGGAAGAGATCTGTGACTTAGGAGTGGGGTTTCTTTTAAATTTTCTATAGAATATTCTAGTTTTAACAAGAATAACATGAGAAGCAGTCCTCTCTGCTCAGTATATATGGTAGGGACTCCTTGAAATTAAGAGAAGCTCAAGACACAGATAATATAGCCTGGAGCAAGGGGGGCTAGGCTGAGTTAGTTTAATAATGTTTGTAAGGGTGTTTCTGAGCCCTGCATTACACAATGTAAAAGTAGCTACCTGCTATGTTTGTGGGAGGAGGGTTAGTGGGAAGGAGAGGGAATTGGAACAGTTGAGTCTCTAAAAGGAAGTTGAGTTTTAAGTGTTGAATAAAAAGGAAGACCCCTGGTGTAAGAATGTAATCCTTTATTGATGATATTACAAAAAACTCAGGTGAGAGTCTGTTGTCTTCTCCCAGCACCTGGAGCATGTTTATATGAGTGAGAGGGTAAGAATCCAATGGCATTCATTGGCCCTGTCACTCATATCTCTGATCCAAAGAAGCTAATCCTCAATGCTTAGGCAGAAATTAGGAGAATACACAAACCTTTGCTTACATCACACGTAGAGGACAAAAAGAGATGGGACTATACAGGGAGGGGAGGGGCAGCAAAGAGCTGTCTGTTTTTTGTTATAGAAATTGATGTGTTAAAAAGAAAAAAAAAAGGAAGAAACCAAAATTTTTTTATTGGTATTTACCATAGAACAGATAAATATGCCACGTAGGTAGCAGGGGAATAAAATACTGGAACTGTAAGCAAAAGACTTACACACTGAAACAATCATCCCTATTATGTCCTAAGTGTCTCAGTAGTAATAACTGGAACATTGGTCTCTTGAATTAGCAGTTATAGTGTTTGTACTCAATGCTGAGTCTTCCTGTTTGGGAGGTGCAGACCTTGTTGGCTTATCTCTTTGGTGTCTTTAATGGTGGTAGAATGTGAGAAAGACTGGGGAAGGAGAGGGAGGAAGGGCAGAGCTGGGGCGGGGTGTGGGGATTCAAGGTGGCAAATGCAACAGTTATGGCATTTACATGTAAATCATGAGTAAACCTCCACATGGAAGCTCATTCTCTGCTTCTATAGGAGATTACAAATATCCTCCCTGCGATGGTTTTAAGTATAATTTTACCCATAGGAATAGGACTTTCACATTACATTCAGGAATATGATACTCAGATTTTACTTTTCAATAGGCTCCTGGGCTAGGGGTGTAAAAAGGAAGAGCAGCCTATTTAAAGGGTCTGGGTTTTCCATGCTTTAAAGGTCAGTATGTTTCTTATGCAGCATGATGTCCATGATTTTATGAACTCCATTCTTAATGAGTGCAACGTACAGAAGGTGTGGTCGATGATTTTGCTAGTGTGTATATCATATATGTAAACCAGGAAGTATCTTTAGCCACCATTCTTTGGAAGCAGGGCAAGAGATCCGTGTATCCACCTTCTCCATCTCTGTGCTGGCTGGATCCATGGCTCCTTATTTCTGTCCTGTTTTCCTAGTTCACTTGGTTAGATGGTTTACCTTTTGATTTCCAACAAGGCATTTGGTTTACACAGAATGGGCCAAAGAGGACCAAGGACTCCGCATTCTCAGCTGAACTACAGCAAGCTTTGGCCATGTTGGAGGATTTGATCAAGTCCTGTGAGTTGGCCGTGGACCTGGCAGCAGTCACTGGATGTCCGGTATGGGCCATAGCAAGTATGGAAATAGTTCAGCAAAAGTCAGGCACAATATTACAAAGGTAGGAGATGCTGTGGTAAAGGTAGAGAGGGGACCTGTGGTGAAGGAATCTGACTCTGAGGAAAGTAGCCTAAATTGTGCAGCAAATCTGTGCTGTGGGAATCCAGGCAGCCTCTCAGCATTTTCAGGAGTCTTGGGTTTGACTCCTTGGGGTCCTGAATGTTGAGACTGACCCACACTCTGGAATGACCAGGAACTCAGAGGCCAGAACATAGATGGGCAGAGGAAGGTGCTGAAGGAGTAATTTATTCTCTGACTCATGGCACTATTAAAAGATTAAAAGATTTTCCTTCCTGCCTCAGATTTTCTCTATGCAAAGTCCTTTGAAAGTGGGTCCTAAGTGAAAGCCTAACTCCATTTTTACGTCACTGATCTCAGAAGAGGACCAACAAGCATATATCGTATATTCTGTAATCCAAATGGTTGAAGAAAAATACCAGAAGAGGCAGTGCTGGGGAGTTGAGCCCTCTCAACACGGGCATGAGGGTAAACTCTGAGTGGGTCAGTCCCAGGGATTCTAGAAAAGCAGGCCACCCTCTGGAACCAGATGACCTCCTTGGGACTGAGACATCATTGCTATTCAGCTGGGTTTCACTGGGGGTGCTCTAGATCTTGACTCAGATGGATTAGTTTTTCATCCTTGTCATAACAAATTACCATAACCTTAGTGGCTTAGAGCAGCACAAATGTATTATATTATAGTTCCATAGGTCAGAAGTACAACACAGTCTCACTAGGCTAAAATCAAGGTGTCTGCTTTCATTTTGGGAGGTTCTGGGAGAGAATGTTTCCTTGCCTTGTCCAGCTTACCAAGGCCCCACACATCCCCTGGCTCATGGTTTCTCCTTCCATTGTCAAAGTTCTTCTTGACTCACATCATCCTGACCTTCTCTTCTGCTTCTCTTCCACTTTTGAGGACTCTGTGATTACATTGGACCCACCCATTCATCCACAGTATTGGCCATCTTGAAGTCAGCTGATGAACAATCCTAATTCCATCTGCAACCTTAATTCCCATTTGTCATGTAACCTGAAATATTCTCAAATTCCAGGGGTTAGGATGTGGACCTCTTTGGAAGGCTATTCTGTCTACCACAGAGGGATGAAGAATTTTGAGGATTACACTTCAGACAGATACTTTTCCTTCTCTCTTTTTCCTTTTCATTTTTACCTGGCTTTAACATACTGTTTGTTCATTGAGGTCTGGCCAATAGAAATGACCTTTCTTTTCTTTCCTGGTCATAAGTCAAGCCATGCAAATTAATTAGGGGCAAAAAAAAAACCCATGATCTTTTTATTTCCCTCCCTCCTGGTATTTCCCTGGCCAGCATCTCAGAAGCAGCCCCACTGGGTCCACAGTGATCCAGGTAGTGATGCTGTTACTGTCCCCTGGGACTCAAGAGTGTTCTCTGCTTACTACTGATGAATGATTCAGGAGGGTATTCATGAACCACAAGGTATGTGTGGGAGGGGATCATCTTCTTGGTAATAATTTTTTCCTTCTTCATTTAAGGAAACTCAAGGGAGCCATTTATTTAATCATTTTGGGACATCTTTCTGCTCTTTTTATGCCTGAACACATGTCAGTGACCCCTATTAGATATACACTTCCCTGAATCAAATGAATGTCCCGGAAACCATTCACAGAGCAGGAAACTCCCAGTTATTATTCTGAGTGTGATTATCAGAGGAGGAGGAAGTTATGAGAAAATAATTAGTAAAATGTGAGTAAATAGCAATCTACTCTAATTTCATTCCAAGCCAGCTTGCATGCAAATAAGGTGAACCAGCTTATAGAATTGTAGATATTCTTTACATCAATGCAAAGAACTTTTTTCTCCCATATGTCCTCAGAATTGCACCTTTGACATAAACTCTATTGTTTTTTTTTCACTATGATTTTAACTTGCTTTACATCTAGTACATTAGCTACTTTACCCTGACAGTTTTGTATAATCCTATTGAATTATGGGAGAGCAGGCAGTGAAATTTTCCCTTTCTGATTCATGAGTAGATCCACGGAAAGAAGAGTTAACTCACACAAGACCACATTGTGCATCAGCTTGGACCACTTCTTGGATTTCTTCACTCCCTATCCAGAGTGCCATTCATTCTCTCAATGCATTCTTCGTCTGATTTTGTTTAGAGTCTACTAACGGTTCAGCTACTCCTAACTCACATCTAATGATTCTAAGATTCTTTGACTCAGCTTTGTAGAATCTTATCACAAGGTGCTGAAAATCACATGCTGAGTGTGTGAATGAACCCAGAACTTAACTGTTAGTTTCTCTACTTAACATCCAATATTGCCCTGGTTTTGAAAAGGAAAGACATTGAACCTGAGTGGGTGAATGCATAATTAAAATAACTAGAAAAAAAATTCCCTCCTGATATTTACATTTTACTCCTGTTGTGTACACTCAGTTCTCAATTTAATTCAGTCACAGGAATTTTATATTTTTTTGTTTTAAGAAAGTTTGCTTTATGGATCACTGAGATGTCATTTACTTCCTTCCATTTGCGAAAAAAAAAGGTTCCCCTCTTCTCAATCTAACACATAAAATAGAGATATGTAGGGGCGCCTGCGTGGCTCAGTCGGTTAAGCGTTTGCCTTCGGTTCAGGTCATGATCCCAGGGTCATGGGATCGAGCCCCACATCAGGCTCCCTGCTCAGCAGGAAGCCTGCTTCTCCCTCTCCCACTCCTCCAGCTTGTGTTCCCTCTCTTGCTGTGTATGTCTCTGTCAAATGAATAAATAAAATCTTTAAAAAAAAATAGAGATATGTGTAGGATCCTTTTAAATCCTGGCTGGTCAGGAACAAGTTCCGAAGTTGAATACTAAAGGTTGAATGAAACATTTTTATTTTCTGGGACAAATTTACGTCTTTCAATAAAGGAAGTACTTTTATTGCAAGTTTTGTGGGATAAGGCCAGGTATTTTATTTCTTTTTTTTTTTATGTTATGTTAATCACCATACATTACATCATTAGTTTTTGTTGTAGTGTTCCATGATTCATTATTTGCATATAACACCCAGTGCTCCATGCAGAACGTACCCTCTTTAATACCCATCACCAGGCTAACCCATCCTCCCACCCCTCTCCCCTCTAGAACCCTCAGTTTGTTTTTCAGAGTCCATCATCTCTCATGGTTCGTCTCCCGCTCCGAATTCCCCCCCTTCATTCTTCCCCTCCTGCTATCTTCCTTTTTTTCTTTTTTTAACATATAATGTATTATTTGTTTCAGAGGTACAGATCTGTGATTCAACAGTCTTGCACAATTCACAGCGCTCACCATAGCACATACCCTCTCCAATGTCTATCACCCAGCTACCCCATCCCTCCCACCCCCCACCACTCTAGCAACCCTCAGTTTGTTTCCTGAGATTAAGAATTCCTCATATCAGTGAGGTCATATGATACATGTCTTTCTCTGATTGACTTATTTCACTCAGCATAACACTCTCCAGTTCCAGCCACATCGTTGCAAATGGCAAGATCTCATTCCTTTTGCTGGCTGCATAATATTCCATTGTATATATATACCACTTCTTTATCCATTCATCTGTTGATGGACATCTTGGCTCTTTCCACACTTTGGCTATTGTGGACATTGCTGCTATAAACATCGGGGTGCACGTACCCCTTCGGATCCCTACACTTGTATCTTTGGGGTAAATACCCAGTAGTGCAATTGCTGGATCATATGGTAGCTCTATTTTCAACTTTTTGAAGAACCTCCATACTGTTTTCCAGAGTGGCTGCACCAGCTTGCATTCCCACCAACAGTGTAGGAGGGTTCCCCTTTCTCCACATCCCTGCCAACATCTGTCATTTCCTGACTTGTTAATTTTAGCCATTCTGACGGGTGTGAGGTGGTATCTCATTGAGGTTTTGATTTGGATTTCCCTGATGCCGAGCGATGTTGAGCACTTTCTCATGTCTCTGTTGGCCATTTGGATGACTTCTTTGGAAAGATGTCTGTTCATGTCTTCTGCCCATTTCTTGATTGGATTATTTGTTCTTTGGGTGTTGAGTTTAAGAAGTTCTTTATAGATTTTGGATACTAGCCCTTTATCTGATATGTCATTTGCAAATATCTTCTCCCATTCTGTCGGTTGTCTTTTGGTTTTGTTGACTCTTTCTTTTGCTGTGCAAAAGCTTTTTATCTTGATGAGGTCCCAATAGTTCATTTTTGCCCTTGCTTCCCTTGCCTTTGGTGATGTTTCTAGGAAGAAGTTGCTGCGGCTGAGGTCGAAGAGTTTGCTGCCTGTGTTCTCCTTTAGGATTTTGATGGACTCCTCTCTCACATTTAGGTCTTTCAAACATTTTCAGTCTATTTTTGTGTGTGGTATAGGGAAATGGTCCAGTTTCATTCTTCTGCATGTGGCTGTCCAATTTTCCCAACACCATTTATTGAAGAGACTGTCTTCTTTCCACCGGACATTCTTTCCTGCTTTGTCAATGATTAGTTGACCATAAAGTTGAGGGTCCATTTCTGGGCTCTCGATTCTGTTCCATTGATCTATGTGTCTGTTTTTGTGCCAGTACCATACTGTCTTGATGATGACAGCTTTGTAATAGAGCTGGAAGTCCGGAATTGTGATGCCGCTAGCTTTGCTTTTCTTTTTCAACATTCCTCTGGCTATTCGGGGTCTTTTCTGGTTCCATACAAATTTCAGGATTATTTGTTCCATTTCTTTGAAAAAAGTGGATGGTATTTTGATGGGGATTGCATTGAATGTGCAGATTGCTCTAGGTAGCATTGACATCTTCACAATATTTGTTCTGCCAATCCATGAGCATGGAACGTTTTTCCATTTCTTTGTGTCTTCCTCAATTTCTTTCATGAGTATTTTATAGTTTTCTGAGTACAGATCCTTTGCCTCTTTGATTAGATTTAATCCTAGGTATCTTATGGTTTTGGGTGCAATTGTGAATGG